TAAATATTTTAAAAATTTGTTTTCAAACTTTTGCTTTTTGTAGAGATAAATCTTTCATCTTTCCCATAACTTCATAACTGAAAAATTATTCTCAACTGTAAATGTGAGTTGTTGCTTAAAATCTTTTCTGTAGCGTTTGCAACTATTTGTGTATTTTATATATTTTTTCCCTCTTTTTATTTTTTTGTAGAGATAAATCTTTCATCTTTCCCATAATTTCATACCTAAAAAATTATTCTCAACTGTAAATGTAAGTTGTTGCTTAAAATCTTTTCTGTAGCGTTTGCAACTATTTGTGTATTTTATATATTTTTTCCCTCTTTTTATTTTTTTATTTTGTTTGATTTCTATTTGTCATGTGTTCGTTTTGTGTGGATTCCTCTCCGTTTCCTTCCTTGGTATTGCCATTTCTCTGCTGGCAGGATGTGCGATGTGGTGATTGGTCCAAGGTGCAGTCACATGGGACTGAGCGACATCTGTTAGCAGGAGGTATAAAAACAAGGAGATACCACATGAAAGGACTTTTTTTCACTTGTGGGATTTCTTTGTATGTGAGTGACCAGAAGACGCCGCAGGTTGTAAGGATTGGATGATAGAGGTACAAGAGAACCAGTCGTCTGGGAATTGAAGAAATTTTGGATCAAAAAGGGAATCCATTTTCATTGAGAAAACATGTTGAGAAGGAAAAAGATTGCAATCCAAATAGGGTATAGGACTAACTATAATGTTGCGTGCCAACAAATTTTTGGTCCAAAGGGAAATCTTGTATGCATTATTGTATACTCGTTTCCCCAACTGTGTTTGATGTTACCTTAGTGTTATCATTCTCCCTTTCCTTTTTTTTTTTGAACGGTCTATTGCAAAAATGAAGGGTTCCACATAAGGAAGTAAGGTCAGGAGAGGGATAATCGGAGTAAGAATATCATTGTAACATGACTGAACTTTGTATTGCTTATTCGTTTCCAATAAACCTTTGTTTATAAAACCATGCTGTGATGCTGACTATTCATTGTTTTAACTGTTCTTTTGTTCAACCCCGCAGACCATGTGCTAATGGAGGAATTTACACATACAAGCCAATAACTATGGTACTATTTTTTCTAATAATTTTTATATTAAATTTAGAATTTTATATTTCAATGAAGACTTTTATTATATTCACAAAATCCTACGCATGTATTCAGAAATTAATTGAATATTTTTCTCTCTCTTTTTAATTTTTTAAAATAACTTAATTTTTGAACATAAAGTTTTTTGTCTACAAGTGTAAAGTAGGAAAATTAAGCTTTCATGTAGGACATAGGACATTTATCATAATTATAGGACACATGGCAACATTACTTTCATACAATGACAAAAGAAAAACAAAGATCCTTTTATACATGTTACACATATGAATAAACTCATCATTTTTGAAAAATATACTTACACATCACTTTTTGTCGTAAAAATTTTATCTCGAATTGATTCAATTGCCATCCATTTAATAGGAAGAGGTCCCTTTATTGAAAATATTAAAATTATTATTTATAATTAAAAAATAAATAATTTTATACTTTTATTATATAAACTTACATCACCCTTTTTTATGTAACTTCCATATTCATATAAATCTTTGGCAAGTCCAAAATCACATATTTTAATAACATTACCATCGGCAACAAGAATATTTCTGGCAGCAAGATCTCTATGTAGTAACTAAATCAATAATAATTATTTAAATAACCTTAAAAAATTGAAACTAAATAAATTTAATAAGCAATAAATATTAAATTCAATATTAAACAGTCAACAAGTACTTAATATCTAGTTTTCTGCAAAACAATTTTGTTTTACTGAAAACTATCAACATAATAGAAAATACATTCTGTCGAAATGTTTGTAAAATGAAAATTTCATATATCCTATTCTAAACAATGTAATAGAAAATATTTTAATTTTTATAGATTTATTTTCTTCAATAATATTTTTATGAAATATTTTAAAAAGCAAAGTATTTTCATTTAGAATTCTATAAATGTATCAATTAACACTTATAAAAAAAATTTAAAATAATTATATGAAAATTTATATTTTTATTTTCATTAAAAAATGTCCATTTTGATAAACTACATTGTCAAAAACAAATATAATATCTCAAAAAATAAATATTAAGTCAAACGTTTGGAAACTAGTTCTCTAGCAAAACAATAAAAATTAGGAAAATTCCAGATATATACTTCATATGCCTGGATAATTATCTCTCACTACTGAAGAACAGGGCCATAAAGAGCTTTTATTGGATCCAGGGTATAGTGAGCCCCTTTTGCCATCTGTTTTTTAAACAAATGAAACAAGTAGAATGTTTCTTTATTAATAAATAGAGTTTTAAAGATTATATTTTTTTTAGGGTTTACAGGGATAAGAACCACTATGGGTTCAAGTGTTCTCTAGACCTGGAGAAAATCTCCAGTTTCCCATCTAGATGGCTCTGCTGAAGAGTGTATTGATCTTCAAGTGATGAAAATGATCAACTTTTTAGTATGAAGCAAGATGGCCAAATGGCTGAGGCAACGAAGACAACAGCCTATTGATCTGGAGCCTGAAGATTGAATCCAGGTGAGAATCTCTCCAGAAATTTTCATTGGTGATATGTCAGGTTCCATCTCCCGCAATCTTGCTGCCTCCATTGTGGCCTAGCCGAACCCACAATGACTATGGAAAAAAGGCCCTTTTAGTGCCCACAGGTTGGAAATAGTTAAAAACAGAGATATACAATATGTCCAAGAAACACTGGACAAATTTCAAACAGTTCTATTGAAAAAGTAAACAGAATTAGAAGAGTAACTTTCAAATATTACAAAGTAACACAAGAAGTGTTTTTCATTTTCAATATATTTTATTATACTTAATCCCAAGATCCAGTGGTGTGCTGTTCATGGAAGCTGTGGAAATGCAGCTTCCTTTGTATTTTCTAAAATATAAATATATATTGTGTGATTATTTTCATATTTTAACATACTTTAAATTACTTAAAATTAATATTTTATTATAACCGCATTATGTATGTTATTACAAATTTNAAATATAAAATTACCTCTATTTAAATTTTTGGTAACAGCACCAAGAAGATTTACAATATTCATATGGTGACCAAGATGTGAAAGAATTTTGAGTTCAGTCATCAATGCTTTTTGTTGATTAACATCTGCTTGTTCTAATGAAAAGAGCAAAAAAATACTTACAAATTAAATTAAATATACATAATTTAATTTATTTAGATAAATTTACTTATACCAATTTATCATTTATACAAAAATTACTGAATTATTATATTATGGATTATAAGATATTCTTTCAAATAATTAATTAACACAATTTAAGCATCAATATTTTTAAAATTTTAAAAACTAAATTTTTCTGCAAATTATTTGTTTTAAGAATTTTTAAAAAACTTTTAATACCTTTTAATAATTTTACAGCAACAGAAGTACTTGCTTCATTAGGTAATAGTCCTATTGCATCTGCTTTCACAACTCTACCAAATACCCCTTGGCCTAATGTAGAACCTAATAAAATTTTTAATAATTGTTGTAAAATCTCAATTTGAATTTTCATATTTTTTTTAGTTTCTATGACTAAAAAAACATTGTAAAATGTACTTAAAACTTTGGAATTTTGTATTCAATAAACTTTATATTGTGATCTTGGTTGCTTGTTGTTCTCTTTACTATATGTATTTTCTTAGCATAAGGTTGCTGTTAAGAACAAATCACACAGCAGGTCGGTTTATTAATTAATTAATTCATTCATTATGTTTTATTGTACCAAAAATAAGTACAAGACCAGGCCCCGCGTTTGGCATTACCTGATGACACAGTTAATGGGATACAAGAGAAAATTACAGTATTTCCCGAAACACAATGAAATCAAATACATAAAAATAGACAATACGATACAAAACAAACATGAGGTACGTGAGAAGAGACCAGAATGTACAGTATAACGCAATACTTTAGAATACTGCATTAGTTATAAACAAAGCTCATTATATACTGTACCAATTGGCAGAAGCCTAACATGAAAGCTAGACTCGTTAACAAGATTAAAATACAAAATAGATCTGTATGTTCAGAAAAAACAGTATACATAGATTAGTCCTTACATGTGACTTTCTGTAAATATTGGTTTTTAACTCTTATATAACTAGGGCATTCTTTGTCCATAGCGTTGTGATGGAATTGTTCACGTTTTTCTTTTACACAATTGGTGCAACGTGGTAAAGATACTGAATCTATACAGTCCTTAAACAAGTGATCACCTTGGCAATGACTGCAGACACGTTTTGGGGACGGGCATTCCTTTGCAAAATGTCCGAAAGCTAGACACTTGAAGCACTGTCTAACTGGAATGTATTCGAACACCGGACAACTACTCCACTTGATGTACATCTTTCCCTCCCTAAGTAATTGTTCTCTGATACTTGGAGTGACCTCAATGATCCATGAAAGATATTCACTGTTTTTTTGTTTTAATGCATATTTAACTCTAACATGATCTGGAAATTCATCTTTTTCAACACGAAGCGCCAAATAATTTTGTTCACAAATGTGTTTTTCATGATCATCTTTAGTGATAGACTTAGGAACCGAAACGATCTTAATAAGAGGTCGTTGTAGGTTTCCTCTACGAGCCTTGAGTCCCGAGACTTTCTCCAATAAACATTCCAAAACTTCAGCATCTGAATCATCACAAACATCAATTGCGACTCCCCCCTGGTTAATTTTTCTTATCTTTTTTATCCCTACGCCAGCTGCTGTTGGATCCACACTTTTGGTCAAAGTTGCTCTTGTTTGTTCAGAGGTAAAGTTCTCGTTTTCACTATAAACCAGTATTGTATAGGTAGGTGAAGGTGGTGATGGTTTTGGCTTTGGTTGAATTGTTGTCAAGCCTCTGGTTAGTATTGCACTATATGACGGAACAGATGGAACAGGAGTTTCATTTTTACTCTGTATAATATTGTTTTTAATCAATTCACTGATTTCTTGCTTGGTATTATGGACAGCCTCTTGAATGTTTTTATTACAAATCTCCAGGGCTTCTTTGATATCGTCTGTAGTCGCTAAATTCCTTATTTTATTGTTTGGAATCTCTGTTATGCAAGCTTTCTTGACGGCAGCCTCAGTTAATTCAATCATCCTGTTAAGTTATTTCACTATAAACTTCTTATGTTGTGCAGTCCCCAGTCGGTCATCCTTATTAGCAGTGATATATTTTTGTGTCTCCTGAATAATGCGTTCGGCATCCTGGCGAAAGTCTTCCATTATTTCTGTCTAATTTAGAAGTTTTATCTTCGGAAAACAAAGAAAACTATCAGTAAGAAAGCGATGACGTCAGATCAGCAACGATTCAAGTCCGTTGACCGTCGGTTTATTAATAGGAAAGATTCCCTTTCCTATCAATAAACTGACCTTTTTCCATTAAAAGTGTTCCTATGTAATTTGTTCTCAACGGCAACCTTATGCTAAGAAAATACAAATAAATATTTATATTGTGATGTATAGAACAAACCTTTCCTTATGTGTAAGCATTTTAAAATAAATCTATGAAAATTATTATAATCTTTTAAGAAGCTAAAAATTAGTTTAGTTAACAACTATTTTCTCTCAACATAAATTAGAAGTTTATTGGAATAACAATAGAAATCTATTTAAAATATAATTTTTTTATTTGTGAATATTAAAAATTTTAACAAGATAAAAATATTAAATATACTTGACCAGTGACAAATTTAGTTTCAAGGACTCTAAGCAGAACAACATTCCTGTAATGTAGTTGAAATGTTTACACGTATGGAAACATTATTCCATGCAATTACTGGAAAATATCATTTTTATTTAAGTAAAATGCATCAATATACTGTATTATCTACTAACAATAAATAGATAACTGGATAAGAAATGATGAGAGACCTTTTCTTTTAAGAACCCTTAATATCTTGTTTCTGTAGATTAATATTGATGTTAAAAAAATTAGCAAATGATAAGAGTTTCTCTAACATAGAAAAATCAGATATATCATACTTTTACAGTATCCCAAAAATAATTCAATGATAAACTATATTGGTGCTATGAAACACTCAACACAAGAAAACTCAACACTCAGCTTAAATACTAATGCTCCTTATTCTTATACAGAATAAATATAGAACTAATCACGTTTAAAACTTTTTTGCAAAAAACTTTCTTTTATGGAATTATAGAAAAACTTCTTGCTCAGATTCAAAGAATTATACTTACCATATACCTCATATAGAAACTAGTGCTTATACATATGAGCATTGTTACGATAATATTTTGGTTTCTTTAAAACTTGTGTATAATTTTTGTTTAATTATTTTATTGTTAAAATGGAATCATTATTAAAATAAAACACAATTTAGAATGTAGAAACACAAATTTTATTAACTTCGGAAACATTTTTGAACTTGTCAATTCATCATCATCTGATGGTAAAACTGATGATAATTGGCCTCTGTGCTCTCTGAGCGGTAAGGGGCCTAAAACCACAAATAAAAAAAAAAATAAAATAAAATAAAAAAACTGATGTAATTATAACTGACATTTAAGTTTATTATAAAAATAGACAATACGATACAAAACAAACATGAAGTACGTGAGAAGAGACCAGAATGTACAGTATAACGCAATACTTTAGAATATTGCACTAGTTATAAACAAAGCTCCATGCCATCTGTTCCCACGTCTTCTTGCAAACTGACANGCTCTCTGAGCGGTAAGGGGCCTAAAACCACAAATAAAAAAAAAAATAAAATAAAATAAAAAAACTGATGATAATTATAACTGACATTTAAGTTTATTATACAAAAAAAGTAAAATTTGTACTGTTAAGTTTAAATGATTAAACTGTTCTTCATAATAATTTATTTATATGGTTGAACTAAAAAGTTTTTAAAATGCTTTAAAATTTCTGAATCCTATAATTTTGAATTGTACTTTCATTGTTTATCATATAAAATGTTTTTGAATTTTATGTGTTGGCTTTTAAAAGTTTTTCATTAGTAGATGTAAAAGAATGATAATTAATTATCTTATTTTTAATTAGCCAATTTCTTTTAAACAAATGACNTTACAGTATCCCAAAAATAATTCAATGATAAACTATATTGGTGCTATGAAACACTCAACACAAGAAAACTCAACACTCAGCTTAAATACTAATGCTCCTTATTCTTATACAGAATAAATATAGAACTAATCACGTTTAAAACTTTTTTGCAAAAAACTTTCTTTTATGGAATTATAGAAAAACTTCTTGCTCAGATTCAAAGAATTATACTTACCATATACCTCATATAGAAACTAGTGCTTATACATATGAGCATTGTTACGATAATATTTTGGTTTCTTTAAAACTTGTGTATAATTTTTGTTTAATTATTTTATTGTTAAAATGGAATCATTATTAAAATAAAACACAATTTAGAATGTAGAAACACAAATTTTATTAACTTCGGAAACATTTTTGAACTTGTCAATTCATCATCATCTGATGGTAAAACTGATGATAATTGGCCTCTGTGCTCTCTGAGCGGTAAGGGGCCTAAAACCACAAATAAAAAAAAAAATAAAATAAAATAAAAAAACTGATGATAATTATAACTGACATTTAAGTTTATTATACAAAAAAAGTAAAATTTGTACTGTTAAGTTTAAATGATTAAACTGTTCTTCATAATAATTTATTTATATGGTTGAACTAAAAAGTTTTTAAAATGCTTTAAAATTTCTGAATCCTATAATTTTGAATTGTACTTTCATTGTTTATCATATAAAATGTTTTTGAATTTTATGTGTTGGCTTTTAAAAGTTTTTCATTAGTAGATGTAAAAGAATGATAATTAATTATCTTATTTTTAATTAGCCAATTTCTTTTAAACAAATGACAAACAATTCATTTTAGGATAATTAAATTTATATAGATTAAATTTTTTACCCAGTTTTAAACGCTCTTTAGGAAATTCCCAGCAATTATTATATGGCAATAATTCAGCTTGTTCTTCAAGTGGGAGTTCTGGATTTAATAATTCTAACTGACCTTCACTAAACCTACAGTTATTGATAAAAGCTCTTCCATGTTGATATTTCTGTAAAATTTGTATAATTGATTTTATTATTTTAATTTAATAATTCTACTTACTTTTATCATTATTGCACAACAATAAATAGCACATATATGTATTATTTAATTTGAGCAATATTTAAAATAAAATTAAACATGTATTCAAACTAAATTTTATTCATACAATATAAATACTATTTCTCCAATATAATAATAAATCTTTAAAAGAAATATGTAAATATATAAAGAAAGTTTAAATTCATTTATATTTATCTGAGAATTAATTTTATGATAATAGTAATTATATATATATATATAGATATATACATATATACACACATACACACACATTGAGCAAAAAAAGGGAGAGAATTAAACTCCAACTATGTAAAGCCAGCTGTTAAACATGTATCAGTGATCAATGATGGTTTAGGGGTGTTTCAATGGAAAAAAGTTGGCAAATTAATATTTATTGATGGAAGAATAAAGAAAGAAGACTATATAAACATCCTCAAGGAAAACTTGGAGGAATCAGTTTGCAAAATATGATTAAAAAATAACTGTTTTTTGACAAGACAACGATTCCAAACATATGGCAAAATTAGTTACAAATTATTTTCAATATAATGACATTACTAAGTTATACTGGTGTCCCAATCACCAAATGCTAATCCAATTGAAAATTTATGAAATGACATGGAAAACTGGAGGTCAAAATACAAGGCAGAGATGAAGGAACTCGTACAAATTGTTTGGGAAACAACCAACCNTTATATAATAAATGAATTTATTTATTTCTAAGTAAAAATTGAAAGTGTCTGTAGAAGTAATTTTTTAAAATATCCTTTTTTATGATAAAGTTTTAATACTTATTACTATAATTTAGACTTGTTAATCCTTAAATATACAAGTATATTTAAGGATTGGGTCACAAATATATTATATATACTTGTGGCCCAAAACTCCATGACTTTTTCCAATGTGACCCAGAGGAACAAAAAGGTTGGACACCCCTGGTGTAAACAAAATCATATGATCAATTTTTTTGTAAGCTGTTTGCTGTTATTTTACACTTTTTTTTTCCCTTACATTTACTTATAATTGTAGTTACAGTTTTAGGGGAAAGAAATAAACAATGTTTATTTTCTATTTTGGCTACTTTTTATTGTGCTAAATCAGTGTTTCTCAACTTCTAACGAATTGTCGCCCCCTTCAATGTAGTATTGCCCCCTTCACTTCAAAATTCCGACACCCCCCTCGATGTGGGTACCTGTCCGTGGTGAGGGGACCTCCCAGAGATGGTTTAGTAACTTCTCTTTACCATCCCTGGGATCTGAACGCCCACCCACGTGTTTGCCGTGCGTGGTGTCCCGTATGCCAGAAAGGGGGATCCTGGTAGTTGAGGGGCAACATAACATCCCCAACACACTGCTTTGGTCCCTGCTTCGGATAAACGGGAGGCTCAAATCAGGCTCAGTTGAGTCAATTGGCTGGCCATTGAGTCATTCTTGACCTCAGCTTGGAGCCAACTGATCGATGCAGATCGGGCGGACACATCAGACAAGATGTGCTCTTCTTGACTGCATTGTGAGGGTATAGCTCCTGGGAAACCCTGGTGTGACAGTCTATGGGAGTCTCCCATGTGACAGCATCCCCTTGTTGGGCCCCATGGTGGGTGGGGTCACTAGGAGCTGAAATATTATTATTTAATCATGGATCCTAAACTTTCAAAAAATAAAGACAAGCCAGAAAACACGAATGGAAACACTGCCAGTCAGCCATCCTACTTAATAGTGCATGCTACTGGAGAAAAACCTTTGTCAAAATGCTCCCCTTTTTTGATTCAGAAGTTATTTGAATCAACGATCGGGCACCTGAAAAAAACACAAAAACTGAGGTCAGGAGACCTACTTGTAGAAACTGCCTCACCTCAACAGTCGGCAAAACTTCTAGCTGCAAAGAAATTGGGAGACATTGAAGTCACAGTCACACCACATGGAAGTTTGAACTCATCACGTGGTGTGATATCTGAGTTTGATCTGATGTCTGAAGATGAATCAGATATTCAGATGAACCTTTCAGACCAGGGTATCACTGCTGTTCGACGTATCTCCATTCGTCGGGATGGCAAATTAATACCAACCAAACATTTAATTCTCACCTTTAACAAGCCGACATTGCCATCTTTTATTACAGCAGGTTATCTGCGCTGCCCTGTC